TTCTGTCAAATAACTATCTCAATATATACTTTATGAAAAGTAGAAATGAGTTTCAACACACAGCAGTGACACTGCAGGAAACAGTCTGGAACCTCACTAAGAATATTGTCAGAATATGAAGAGAGATTTGTTAGAGGCGTGACATAAAATGTAAAAATTGAATTTCTTGCACAAATTTAAAACCAAAACATCGTATAACCTCTCTGTGTTTTGGACCCAACATGTCTCTGTCTATTTGGATAAAAACTGTTGAATGCACATTTTTTTGGTGAGCTGTCAACAGCGAAGCATGAAAACAGATGTATTTCTGCTCTTTTCATTATTAGGGAAATAAAAGCAGCTGTGCTGGGCTTGTGTGTGAGTGAAGCTCTCAGTCAGAGCTTCACACTCCAGGAGTTGGGAAACCTGGCAGTGTAGACCAGGATTTACATCATGAACATCTTCAAACAAGGCCACTGAGGATGATTCTTGGGCACTGCTCAGGGCCTCACTCCTTTCTGGAGTTGTTATTGCCATTTTTCTGGTACTGGAGTTCTGTGTGGGAAGCTGTGGTAAAGTGAGGTAAAATTATTATGGCCTTAGTTTGCGTGAAACAGTAAGAAAGGCTATTTCAGAACAGGACTTCATCAGAATCTGAGACTCAATCATAAAAAAGAGTGAATGTAGCTAATTACATTTGGGAGTGACAAGTACAAACTAATGTTAGTGCTTCGATAGAGATCTAATACTATCTGAACAAGGAGGACCAAATATGCCTTTTCTAGACACAATACACACAGTGGAATAAACCCAACATGTTTGGTGAAAGAAAAATAAATCCAAGTATAAAAACAGAGTCTTCTTTTATGCACTTGCAGACCTGACAGTAACCAGATGGTAAGTTTTTTTGCATTGAATTGATGGTTTTTGTGCAGAAGGGCTATTTTTGGTCCGGTTTGGGACATTTGTCACAGAAGTTTGTTTGTTTCAGGCTTTCTCTTCCTTCTGTAGGAGTCTGGTGTTTGCGTTTGTGTGTGCATGAGTGTGTGTGTGTGTGTGTGTGTGTGTGTGTGTGTGTAGGGGAGTGTGTAGGTGTGGAGGGAGTACTTGTATACGTGGTGATGTACTTACCCTGTCTTATATAGGGCAGAAGTTATCCCTTGGCAAAGAGAACAAAGATAAAATGTAAGAATGACAAAATTGGATTTGTGTTGATCTGAAGTTTGAATTGATGTTATATTGTTGATCAGAGTAAGAAAATATTAAAATAAAGACACTGATAAAAGAGAACAGTGACATACTTAACAAATTTTTGGAACTCTGCATTGATTGATAGTATCTTGTGGAATTTTCTTGAGGAGAGGGATAAGATCAAGAATGAACATCAGTTAACTGGGCTATGGATAATCAGACCAACCAACTTAAGAAACTTAAGAAAGTACAACTAGTGCTTTAAAACAAAGATGCTACACTTTCTTTAGGTATCTATATGAGAGCAACTCAGCACTATAGCCTTAATCAAAATCTTCAGGTCACAGAATTAGCTGCAGGTGTTTCTAATAAGAAATGAAATTCTGTAGCATTTATTTTCACAAACTGCTCATGTGCCAGAATCTCCTAAAATTTGATTTGTTCCCCCTCTCATTACAGATCTCAAAAGACTCAGATTATGAAGCGGTTTTAAAAGAAGAATGGGGAAGAAGAGAACATTTAGGTATGGGTTCCAAAAAGCCTTGGCATAAACTCTGAAACTCTTGCCCACACCAGCAATTGTGGAGAGCTACTCAGAAAGCTTTCTTTCCAAGGTGAAATACTTTTGATTCTGCAAGTTCAGCTCATATGTTAATTTTTATTTTCATAACATTCCTTTCTGTCTCTTCTCTCTCTCTTTTTTTTCTCATTCTCCCTCTTTCCCCTTATATTTTTGGTTTTCAGATGGTACTACTACTGGCTTATATTTGACCAAGCTCACGTAAATTAAGTATGAGAAAATGAGAACACAACCATCACAGAATGGTTATTAGGAATGACGGTTCAAATGTGCAGGATGTTTGATCAACTATCAAAGAAGTATTATTTTAAAATTAGCACAAATTTGGTCAAATCCTATTTATCTTTAAAGTCCAATTTTCAAAAATAACTATGTCCAGGTTGCCCCTGCTGAATATTGTGGACTGATTGTGGATTGAATGGGAATTCAAAGACCTCCTTTCTGTAAGAGCAGGCGGTAATGGCAGACGCCAAGGGAAAACTAGGCAGCACCTCCTAGAGACGTTAAGTGACCACGGTCTAACCCCCACAATGGGGTCCACTGGGATCAACTTCTAAGGTTCTTGCTCACTCTTTTGTATTCCTGCCTTCTCCCAGAACATTTAATCCCCATTTCTTTGGGCTTGATCTAAGTCTTGTGTAAGTGCAGAGAATGTGCAGAGAGCAGCAGATTCCAAACCTCACTCACTCACAACTCCTTTACACTCAGCTGCAAAATTAAGTTCACTAATTATAACATCCTTCAACTTTCTTTTTCCCAATTCTGATACATTGATTTGCATGCACATCTTCCAGTCTTAGAGGACCAGCCCTCCCTCGTGGTCAAGGTCAGTCTCTCCACCATGCTCATGATTTCCTCTCTTCTTGGAATGGGACCTCACTTCATCTGTTTTCCCTCCACTCCAACACCTTCAACACACTTCTCCTCACCTTTGCCTTTGGCCTATATTATAAACAAACGTCTCCTATCCTTAAAAGAAGTTCTATCTTGACCCTGTTTCCTCCTCTAGTTATTGCCCTGTCTTTCTTCTTTTTTTCCACCGCAAATGTCATAACAGCATTTTCCTACTCTTTCATCATTTTCCCCATTTACTCTTCAACCTACTGCAATCCGGCCTCTTTCCGCACCCCTGGGAGAAATTCCTTTATACGACTCCCTTCATTCTCATCTTACTTCTCGGACTTTCCTTCCTGGTTTCTTGAGGGGCTTCTTTTTTTTCTGCCTTCCTCTAAAATTTTGAGGATCCTCAGATTTCCCTCTTACAGTATGTACCCTATCTGAGAGATATTCATCTGGGTTCAAAATTTTAACTATTGCCTGTTCGCTAGAAACTCCTTAATAGATTTCTCCAGCATAGTTGTCTCCTCAGAAAAAGTATCTTGTATTTACCTCTTCTGAACATTTACACCTGGGATTCATAAGACTTTCATCTCAATACCTCTCAACAGAATCAGTCTCCTTTTGCTCCTCTTCATGTGATCCCTGGGCTTTGCCTTCTCCCTTTCTCTCACACTATTACATCCAAACCACCACCAGGTCCTACAGAATTTATTTGTTAAATATTTCTTGACCCTTTTGTCATTTTCTCATCATCTCTTGTCTGGATTACTATAATAACCTTCTAAATGGTGGTTCAGTCTCAAAATGTTTGTTTCTTATATCCATTCTGCACAGTTAGTAGAATGGACCACCGCCCTATTCAAACCATAAAATAGCTCCTTTTGACTTAGTCTATAAATTTTCCATCATCTGGCTTCTGCCACATGTTCAGTTTTATTCCCAGTCTCAGTCTGTTTGCCAGTGTTTCTTTTCATTCACCACATTTCTCTTACCTTTGCGGCCTTTACTCCTGTTTCCTCTAACTGAATCACTTTTCCCTCATATCTTCACCTAATTTCTGTTCACCTTTCAAGGTATCACCTCTATATGATGCCTTCCTCAATACCTCTTCAAGACTGTCAGCTTCATGGATGGGTAATGTTTATGCTGGTGATCTGGGGCCTCACAGTATCTTCTAGATATTGAGAACCAGCCAAGGGGTAAATGTCAGATTAAGGACATTGCTTTCTTATCCAAGGTGAATGTTCCAAGCAGCCTCTGCACAGTATCCATTATGTTGAGGAGGTGGGGTAGGATAGCACTAATAGAATGCAGAAACCAGTACATTTAAAAAAACAGTGATTTCATGTTTTAAAATTATGTCCAAAACTGTGGTCATGATTACTTTCAAATGAAATTGAGTAGGAGCAAAAACATTGAAAACCATTAAGTTTTTGAGGACTTTGTATTTTCAAAGAATCTACAAGCTAAGCTCACCAAGATGTTATTAGTCAAGCTCTAAATCAGATCATTCTGTACCAGAAGAAATCAGACCGTAAAAGCAGGGCAGCTCTCAAACGTACTTCAGAAGTGGCCACAGAGGACACTAGACTAAACTTCCCAGTGGGCAAAGCCATAGTCTCCTCACAGAGAGAAGAATCAGGGCAGTCAGACAGGCTATATAAGGAACTTAATCTAACGCAGGTAATCTTTGCATTTCTTACCAATAGCCCTTGATAATCTCTATGGAGAGACTGAACAGATAACTGTTCAGTGTTTCCTATTTTTCCTTGTTTAAAATTATAGGCTTGATGACAGTTATTCTGCCTATTCCATCATTGTAAATTTAGTATGGGGGAGGCACATAACTTTTCTCTTATTTTAGCAGGTTGTCAGATGCTGAATGAGACTTGGAGAGGGCTTGAATGTGCTCTCTATATGAGAAGAGTACCAAAGATATTTGGCTAGGCAAAAGGGTGGGCCGTGAAAGAGAGAGCTAATTGATCCCCAATTTGTGTTCTCCTTATCCATGGTAATGGAATTTTAACCCTTGCAAGGCCATCCAAAATAAAGAGTATATTTTTTAGCTTCTCTTGCAGCTGGTTGTGGTTATATGATTTGTTTCTGGCTTTTCGAGCAGAAAGAGTGTATGCTCCCTGGATTTTCCCTTGAAGGGATGTCCTCCCCTTACTCCCTTTGCCTGTTCCAGTAATGGGAAGGAGGGGGTGGGCCATCCATTGAACACAAGATGGAAGCCACATGTCATGAAGGTTAGAACAATGAAATAGAAGGAGGCTTTGTTCAGATATGATAACTAATACAAGTTATATGAAAAGAAACTTTAAAAAAGTACCCAGAGGATTAACATAATTAGTTCAATTTTATTATTAAACCATCTATTTGTTAGGAGAGCTTTTGTGTTTCTTACTTTTTCAAAAGTAGTTCTAAACTTTCCTTGGAATCTGCAATACCAAAGTCACACATGCATAGTTATTTTTTTCCTTTACCCATCTACATTTTACTTGGGGATTGGGGTGGAACGTGGGGTAGGAGTGGGGCACAATTGGAGGATTCATGAAAATAAATGATCAGTTTCATGCTCCTTTTTTTGATTATGTATTAATTATGCCTCATTTTCTTTGTGATAGTAGGTACTTATATCATTGCATAGTTTGGTAAATATTAATTTATAATGCTCAAAATCCCCAGGAGATTAATTTCAAGTGAGCATAAAAATGATGAAAGGTGAATTTGAGAAATCTAGGGAAAGAGTAGTGGTAAGCACATTTATGATAGAGCTAGGACAACTGAAGACCAGGATTTCCTTGGCCATAGAAATCTAAAAAGTTCTAAAGACCATTTCATTTGAGCCTGGTGGATATATTGCCAGAAAATCAGATATTTCTTTTCTCCTTATCTGTGTCCTCTCCTTTCCTGGCCTGGGAGATTATTTTAGATTTTCTGGGTGGGCTCTAAATGCCATCATATGTACCCTTATAGGAGAGAGGGAGAGGGAGATTTGACACACGGAGAAGATGATGTGAAGGCAGAAGCAGAGATTGGAGGGTTGTAGCCAAAAGCCAAAGAATGCTAACGAATGATGGCAGCCACCAGGAGCTAGAAGACTCAAGAAACAGATTTCCCCCAAACCTCTGGAAGGAGCATAATCCTGCCCACACCTTGATTTTGGACTTCTAGACTCTAGAACTGTGAGAGAGTAAATTTGTGTTATTTTAAGTCATAAAGGTTGTGGTAATTTTTTGTAGCAGCCACAGGAAATTAACACAATGGGTAAGTTCTGACTGTTTAGTATATATTGATTTGTCTTTTTTTATATAAGTGTATATACCAAAGTTACTCATTCATTCATTCCTATATTCACCCAGTAACTGCAGTTCTTTTTTAGTGATTGGTTGCATGTGTTCGTGTATAGTCATGCTGACTTTGTCTTTTCAATATTTAAACAGACAGCATGATGCTAAGGTGACTTTTTGTACTTGCCTCATTCTTTCCTACTCTTCATGACTTCAGCCTTTTTAGCTTCTTTCTGTCCAAAAAAAAAAAAAAAGCTATGAGTAAGTTAATTACTTGAAGTAGTTTCATCTAATAGCACTGCTATTTGCTGATACATGCAAGCACAATTATTACTCCACCTGGCCTGGCAGTATGACAGACATTTGATGGATGAAAGATTTTACAATGTATTTTATTCTTCTAAGCATTGCGCAGGCCTTTACTAGGGTCATATGCATGACAAATAGACCATATGTTTTAAGGAAGTAGACAACTGAGGTTTAGAAATCAGCAAGTTGATCTACAGACAAGGAGCTGAAGCCTCTACTGCCGTTAACCTGTGTTCTATTGGGGGAGCCATACAAGAGAGGTATGGAAAATATTTGACAAGTATTAAACCAATGTGTTTTTATCCCTCTCCCCCATCAAACATGTTCTATCACAGTGATTCTGTTGGTGTAGCCCATGGAAAAGGGGTGATGACAAACGCTACTTTAAGAAGATGGAAGACATGTAGTAGCGAAAGCCTGTGTTACAAAGTAGGCAGTCAGCCCACCCCCTTGACCCAGTAGCTTAGGGGCAGAAAAAGAGAAAGAAAAGATGGGACAGGAAAAAGGGAGTGAGGCTTTTAATGGAGAAGGGCATAAGGGCTCTTCAAAGTGTGGGCTGGCCCACACTGGGTGAGTAGGTGGAGTGGCATAGGCAGGCTGAGACAATGTTTTGGTTCTCCTCCGGAACCTCCCTCAGGTCTTGTGCAATGTGAATGCTGAGTTGACAGCCCAGCACCTAGTCAAGCCAAGCAGACTCAACCACAAGTTCAGTAAGTATAATATCAGCAGTAGGACAGCAAAAAGCACAAGAATCGGATGGAGCCAACCATAGTTCACGGGATCCGGCCAGTTCACTAACAAAGTAGCATAGGATGGTGGCAAAAGGCATGGGTTACAGAGAAGACTGCCTGGGTACAATTCCTGGCTCTGCCATTTACAGTGTAGTAATATTGCACAAATAACATCGTTTCTCTCTGTCTCAGTTCCTTCGACTATAAAACCAGGATAATGCAAGTATTTACCTTATAGTGTTATTGCAAGGATTATATTAAGCAATGCACGTAATCAATTAAGAACAATGCTGAAATTATAATAGTCATTCACTAAACATGGTTGAGTTACCCAAGAACTAGCATGAGGCCAGAGATTTCCCTTTCCATGCTGTTTTGAGAAGATATAAATCCCTCCCTTTCTCCTACTTGAGGAAATTAAAGAGTTGAGGAGATACATGTAAAAGATAGAATAATTAGAACAAACCAAACCTAAAGAGACTATTTAAACAATTGGATTAAATTAAGTTTCAAAATGGAATATAATTTATATAATTTCTTTTTCATTTTTTCTTGCTACTAGCTGACAGAATTGGGGACAGGCTGATGAGTAAGACCAGATTAGTTAATAGACTAAGAAAAGATTCTCTTTTTTTTTCCTTCATAAATTGTAGTGTGGTTAGATATCTGGTCCTGATCCCCAAATAAATAAATGAGCATTCTCTGGTGGTAATGATATGTGACAAAACCCCAAGTGGGTAAAGTCATGTAATGATTGTATAATAAAAATCCCAGCATTCTTCTTAGTTGATTTTTACATGTATAAAGTCATATATAATAAGGGAGCACAGGGCCAGGGAAGAACTCCCTGAGAAAGCAACACTAGGGTTTAGACTTGAAGTTGAGAAGGAGTCAGGGTTACTTATATTTGGAGTAAGAGTTTTCAGATAGAAGGAATAGCAATGCAGAGGTTCTGTGCCCAGAATGAATTGTTATTGTTTTAGGAACGGAGGGAAAGGCAGTGTGGCCAGAACGATGTAGATCAAGGTATGTGTCATGGAGGGATTTATAGGTCATGGTAGGGAGTCTTAGTGTTTTGAAAAGAAATGATAAACCACTGGATGTTTTAAATTAAGGAGTAAGATGATCTGATGCACATTTTTACAAATCATTTCTTTGCGTGGAAACCATTTTCTCTCTAAGAACACATGTGTGGAAGAGAAGTAGAATGAGGTAAACAGAAAAGTGAACATGATAGTTTAGATGAGGGTGATGGCAGTGGAGATGGAAAAAAGTGGATGGATACAGAATATGTTTTAGAAGTAGAGCCAACAGTTTCTGCTGATGCATTGGATGTGAAGTTGAGAAATTGAGGACAATTTCTTGAATTTTGGCTCTAGCCGGGATGAATGAAAGCAAATACCTTTTACTGAGGTCAGGAAGAGCAGTTTGGGGTTGTGGCCCCAGGAAAGAACAGGCGTCAAGGATTCTGTTATGGATATATTTAGTTCAAAGTGCTTACTGTGTTCTCGCCAGTTTTCAATATCAAATGGGCAAGCACTGTGAATGAGTCTGGCGCGCTCTGTAAAGGTCATGGCTTGGGCATGTAAAACTAGGTGTCACCAGCCATATAGACCAGCATTTAAAACCAGAGGACAAGGAGCAATCGTCTAAGTAGAGAATACAGATAAAGGAGAGGATAGGGCTTGGGAACTATTTATGATGAAGCAAAATGAAAACATAACAAGTGAATAAAAAATGTTTCTCTGTCTTTCTCTCATATATTTGTAAATGAACTGGAAAAGTGCTTGAAGGATACAAGCTAAACTTGTAACACAGATTCTGTGGTGGGTGTGGTATTGGAGGTAGTTGAAGGAAAAGGCTTTCTTTTAACTGCAAGCATTTCGGTATTGTCTGAAGATGCCTGACTTGAATATACTTACTAATCTTATTTCTTTTGCAATTAAAACACAAATACTTGAAAAGCATCACAAGTAATCCATGTCCATTATAGACAATTTATAAAATGACACCAAGCCAAAACAATAAAAGAAAAATCAATCATAACCCCATGTCTCAGAAGCAATCATTTGACATTTCAGGATATGGACTTTTTCTTGTGTATATATATTTAGATGTAGAAACTTCAATATTTTATTTTTAGATTTTCACAGAAAAAAATTCACAGCTCGTGTTATTAATTTCCATTCTATCCTACGATTATTTTTTCAACTCCCATGTTTTGATACCACTTATATCTCTAATCCAGATTTCAATCCTATGTACCATACTCCTCCATCCCTTGCTACCACGTGATTTCACTTGGAGATCTTCTAAGACCAGATTCAAGGAATTAGACTTGAAATTTGTCAGTTTCTACAGTCTCCACATTCTGAGTTTTGGTAAAGGGCACCATTACCTTCCAAACCAGAATTTTTAGGCAAGTTCTCATCCCTGACCTACCTCATTCCCTTGCTATCCATATCTAAATTGTTAGTGTGCTCTACAAATTTCACATTTTATGTGACTCTCAAATCTGAATTTAGCTATCCTCATTGCTGTGGCTTCAGTTCAAGCCTTCAAAATATTTTTTTATTGTTATGGCAGCTGTTTAATTCTTTTCTTGTCCTGTTATAACCCAATCTTTCTAAAAAAGTAAACCCGATTATTGTCACTCTATTATTTCAAACCCCTCAGTGACCCCACCACTGTCTGTATAAAAGCTGAACTCCATCATGTGGCACACAAGGCGTTTCATGATGGCACTCCTCTGCCTTGGGTGCCTTGTATCTCATTATTTCACCCTCATCTTGAGTCACAGGGATGTACCTGTGGTTTTCAGAACATGCTCCGGTCCCAAGGTTGCCTGGTAGAATACCTGATAGAATACCTGACACCAAATAGCCATTCAATGCATGCTTACTGAATACAAGAAAGTAAGTTTAAGAGGGCTCCCAGAGCCTACAGTGTGGATGTGTGAAATAGCAGACTGTGTAGAGATGAGAAATTCAAATGAAAAAGGAGCTGTATCAAAAAGCTTCAGAATAAGGCAGGAATACATGAAATCACAGAGATATAGTATCCAGGGATTCATATTCTAACCCGTGCTGTCCAACAGAAAGGTAATGTGAGCCAAGTAGATCATTTAAAACTTTCTAGTAGCCATATTAAAAAAGTAAAAAGAATCAGGTAAAAATAATTTTACTAAGATCTATTTAAGCCAATACAGCCACCATATTTTCATTTCAATGCATAATCGATATTAAAATGATTAAGATACTTTACATTCTTTCTTCATACTAATTACTTGGAATCCAGTGTGCATTTTATACTTAGAGCACATTTTTAACATAGAGTAGTCACGTTTCAAGGGCTCAATAGTCACAGGTGGTGGGTAGCTACTGTAGTGGACAGCATGGGTCTTACATATACAGAGAAGAAGGAGGGGAAAATCTGGTGTAACATCGTGTTGTTATCATTGGGGGAAGACAACATGCATCCAGAAATTCAAGCTTGAAGGATTTAGGAACGCTACATTTCACTGCCTGTGGATGGAACTGAAAATGAATCAGAGAAGTTAAAAATTGAGAGTAAAATTTAGGAAGAAATTTTAGGATGAAGAGTGACAGTAATAATCATGATGCAGAAATGGGAAGTCCAGGGACTTCCCTGGTGGAACAGTGGATAAGAATCCGCCTGCCAATGCAGGGGACATGGGTTCAATCCCTGGTCTGGGAAGATCCCACCTGCCATGGAGCAACAAGCCTATGCGCCACAACTACTGGGCCTGCACTATAGAGCCCATGAACCACAACTACTGAGTCTGCGTGCTACAACTACTGAAGCCTGTGCACCTAGAGCCCGTGCTCTGCAACAAGAGAAGCCACCGCAAGGAGAAGCCCACGTACCACAAGGAAGAGGAGCCCCTGCTCGCCACAACTAGAGAAGGCCCAATGCAGCCAAAAATACATAAAATTAAATCTTTAAAAAAAAAAAAAAAGGGAAATCCAAAACTAAAAGTTGTATTACTGTGGTACAAGAAAACAAGAGATAGCTCCTTCAAATAGGTTATCAAAAAGCTTATGTATTTAGATTTTGCCAAAGGTTCTTTTCTGGTTTACTTTTCATGCTCACAGTGGAAAAAAAATGACCATGTCAGAAATTCTTATAATTTATTATATATTTAACAGCATTTTTCATTTGTTGTAACTCAAAATCCAAAGTAATAGTTTCCATTTTTGCCACCTTGATTTATGAGTGAGTCAAAATCTCTAAAATAGTACGGGGTGGCAGCAATCACTAAGCAGGACTTGATGACTGTACCTCTCTCTCCCCTCCAATAAATAGCTGTGAGTTCAGATAGAGCACAAAGTGGAACCCTGGCACCTTTATTAGATAAGTACACTAAATATAGTGAGGTAGAGCACTATTCATTTACACACTTCTGAAGAAACCAGAGCAGTTCTGATGTGTCAGAACTGATAAAAGGTGCTCAGAAACAGGCTGCCTGGTTTTGGTCCATGGAGAGAACACGTCTCTGATTAAAGATG